TTTCTTTTTCTTTCTTTCTTTTTTTTTGTCACTTGGGAATATTCTCCAGTAGGCATTATATTTTTTGTTTTACTTGTCATTTTCTCTCCGGTGCTGGAACTAAAAACTCTGAGCGTGGCAGCTCCAGTCTCAGCACATGTCTGTGAGTCTGTGTAAGACTCACATGGAGAAAAAACTCTCACGTACATAATGCCCCCTTATAATTCAGAATTCCCTTCTGTAGACCCAAGTTTCCTTCGGGCACACTTTAATTCTTGAAAATATTTATTTTAATATTTCTTGTGATAAAGTTCTTATATCTTTACTCTGTAAATTTACTAAGTAAATTCTCTCTGCTGTTGTTGGTCTGCTAGAATCTGTCTGCCTTCATTTTTAAGGTATTTTTGCTGGGTATATAACTATAGCATAATAGGTTTTTTGTTTGTTTGTTTTAAAGATTTTATTTATTTATTTTTAGAGGGGAAGGGAAGGAGAGAGGGAGAGAAACATCAATGAATGGTTGCCTTTCGTGCATCCCCTGCTGGGAACTGGCCTGCTGGGAACCGGACTGCAACCCAGGCATGTGCCCTGACTGGGAATCGAACCGCGATTGTCTGGTTTGCAGACACGCACTCAATCCACGGAGCTACACCAGCCAGGGCTTTGTTTGTTTTAAGTGTCTTTATTTTGAAATGGCATTCACTTGTATTCCTGATTAAATAGTTTTAAGTGAGAAGTCTAAACTTAGTCCTTCTTTTTTCGCTGTACATGTGTGTCTTTCCTTTTCCGTTTTTTCTTTCCATTTTTAATTGTGATATGCCTTGCTGTGTTTACCTTACTTGCAGTTACTCTGGTTTATCCTATAAAATTTATTGAGTTTTTGTGGGATATGTGGGTTTGTAGTTTTTACCAAATTTGGAAAATAATTGGCCTTCATAACCTCAAATATTTTTACCCACTTTTTCTTCTAGAACTTATATCTTTGTCTCACTTCTTGAATTATCCTACAGGCAACTGATTTACTGTTCTTGTTGTTGTCCTTTATTTTTCTCTTTGTGATTTAATTCATATTGTTATTTTTTTGTCTCTGTAATTTTCATTTCTACTGTAATGACTTAATGGTCACTGATCTTTTCTTCATTAACTAAGCAATTAATCTCAGATATTTCATTTTTCCATTCAGATATATAATTTTCATGTATAGAATTTATATTTTGTTTTCTGTTATATCTTCAATTTACATTCCTATCATATTAATAAAGTTCTCTTCATCTTTGGAGAATGTCTGATATTTATAATAGAGGTTTTAAAGTGTTACTAGCTAATTCCATCATCTTTAATATCTGAGTTATGGATCACATTTTCCTGCTTCTTTATATTTCAGTTATTATAATAATTAGATAGCATATATTGTGAGTTTTACTTTGTCAAGTGATGGTTTTTGTCATCTTTTAAAGGATGTGTTACACTTTGATAAGTTACTAATGACAGATTTATATGTAAGGGGTCTACTTTTAGGCACTGGAAGGAAAGATTTGGAGTGGTCTACTCCAGCCGTGGGGTTAGCCCCACTCCTTGCACGTGTCCTACCTGTGTTCTCCACCAAAGGCTAGTGTTCAACAAGGATTCTTGAACTCTGTTGATTTAAATATGTTGTATATGGCAGAAGAGTAAGTCCAATGCCAGTTACTCAGGAATGGCTGGGTGTAGAAGTACCAACACTCTCTATTAAAGATATAAAGCATTTTGAAATCATTATATGATATTTCCATGTATAAAAGTCATTAATAACCAAAATATGTTTAGACATAAATGCAAAATTGTAATAAATACAGTTCTAATTACTGTATTTTCTCTAATTTCCATAAGTACTGATGTTATTATTAAATAATAACTTCTAAATTACATTATTATTATAAGAAAAACAAGCAAAAGCTAAATTCAGGTTTAGTTACATGTACTTCTTGATCCTTAAATTTAAAAAATTCTCAGAGTGTTTTTGTTTTTTCTGTTTCTGGTTGAATCACTTTATCAAAGCCTAGCTAAGTCCTACAGTACAACCATTTTTAACCACACTGATAAAAGTATTAAAATATTAAATAGACTTGCAGCACTTAAGAATTTCTAAATGATTTGTAACAATCTTGTGATTTTTCTTTCTCTGAATATTCAATACTACATTGGTCATTCAGTCCAGTGCCAAGTCACCATACAAATTCAGTTTATAATAGCTTGAATATTGATTTGGATCTCAAAATTGATCAGTTTAAGATTTTGACCTTTTCAGTTATTAACCATATATTTGTGATTCAATTATTTCATCAACTTACTTCATTATATTAAGACAGGTGGTATTTGTTTTCCAAATCCTAGATTGTCCTTCATTCATACATTAAAATGTGTATGAAAAATCTTATATGGGCAAATGAATACAGAAGATACTCAGAACTCTTTAATACTTATTGGCAGAATTTAGGTCCTTAAAGACAGCAATTGTGAAGAATTTCATTCTGATTAGCAGCTATGTTTAGTAAGAATTACTTTGAGGTTATCCGCATATGTATATTCACCATGTCATATATAAGCCAGCAGGTGGCAAACTTGAGATTTTGTTGTACTATTGCTCTTGCTGAAGATGTATTAAACAGTGTATCAATGGCTCTCATAAATAGTTCTTTTGGTGCACCATGGCATAGGAAAAATTAAGCCCTCTCTAATTGTAGAGTCACTGGCATTTGGATAGCAATGTACTCATTATAGTTTTCTCTTGAGTTACTGTTTAATCCTGTAATTCTTTCTCTAACAGATAGTTTTGGGAGATAGAAGATGCCAGTTTGAACTATTGTGTGCTGTGATATCCCTGGTTTGGAGTAAATATTAGCTTCTCTTGCATTTACTTTAGGGAAGATCTTTATCTCATTTATAAGGTCATGCAATATATATTTTGTCTCCCAGAACAGGTAACGCAATATGCTTTTGGAAGTTTTAACAACACTGACCCTCACGTTTTTTGACTCAAAACAGTAATTTCTTCTGTAGGTAATAATTGTTTTAATTTTATCCCTGCAGATATTTATGTTTTAGTGTGAGTTGCTGGTAGTCATTGATACATGAAGATGAACTGAATTTCTTTCATGTTCATTTGATTTTCAAAAGTTTTAGATTTTATACCAATACTAAAGGATCAATCAAGAGTGCTTATATTGAGGCATATGATTAGGCCTTGGGGTATTTAAGTAAACATAGTTCTATGACATTCAGAGATAATAATTCAACCATAATATATGATTTACCCATTTCTTTCCCTGTGTGAAAGCCATCTATTTTTACCACTCCCTCTGGGTTCTCTACAAAATTCCTTTCCCTTCCTGTAGGTAGGGAAGAAATACAGCTGCAGTCTTCCTTCCTATACATTTGCAGTCTATTTTAACAATAGCTACAGCTTGTTATTTTCTTCCTAGTGGGGAATACTTTTTTTCATAATAGGACAGCAATGACTAAAGACAAACCCAAATTAGGTGCTGAGATGCTTCATGATTTCTACATATAAACTGGATCATTTAGATGACTTCTACAAGATTTAAATAAAATAAACTATGCTTCATTAAAGGCAAAACTATCTGAAGTATTCTAACAATTGACTACTTGATAGACTGAGTGTGTAAGAAGTAGAAAGAATTCACTAATCATTCAAAATCAAAGTTTTTGTTCTCCTCACATCACGGTAACTGAAGATTCTTTAAGGACCAATAACATAGTTCTTCCTTTCTTGCTTTTTTACTTCTAAGGGAAGAAGACTCAATTTAAAAAATCTAATATAAATATAAGGAAAATAAATTATGGTGTAAAATTGATTTTAACTATGAAACCAGTCCTGAATCAAATTTGAAAAAAACTGAAATTTCCACTTAAGCTATAGACTGTACATCACTCAGCATTAGTGTTCTCCTTGCTGGGACTTTAAAAAAGAAGCTTCTAAATCAGGAAGGTGCGTGCACAGACGCTATTTTGCATATATTCACAGGTCAAAATACCCGGGTCTTGTTAATGTGTCCTAACTCAATCCTCCTGTGTTCTGTTTTCCGTCAACCCATGTCCAACTGGGGAACCCGGTTTTGGAGAAAGATGATACCCCAAACACCTTCTCAGTCCCCTACTTCCTGAGTCTCCTGGAGGAACCACCTTGTGATTTTTCATGGGGTAAAATCAGGGACCTGCAAACGGGGTCCCCACACACAGGTTTGCAGACATCTATAGTTGCCTATGCAACAGCCTACAATACACAAATCCCCAAGTCAAGGCGGCCCCCTGCCCTAATGATCCTGACGAGGGCACACTGTCATAAACAATTGTGCATTGTGCCAGGTTTTGGTTCTGTGTCCTTTCCAATGTAGTACTTAAATGTGCACATCTCTTGGAATTCCAGTGAGAACACACGGTCCCAGTTCTGCTTGGTCTGGCAACGCATCCCGGAATGTGGAGCAAGGGAACAGGAAGGGTCTGCCGGCCACATCCCCACCTAAGTGTGGCCCCAGCTAATCGCATGTCCCCCTCCACCAGATAAGGAAGGAAACGGGGGAGTGGACACGTTTTATTAGCAATCTTGAGTCTAGCTCTTCAGAGAGAGGCGTTCCTTGGTGAATTTAGGACTTTGGCCTGTCTCCATCCCCTGCGCGCTCTCTGCCTTTCTTTGCCCACTGCGCCCCCACCCGTGTACACGCAGGTAAGTTTTACACAGAGTGAGTGCGGCGTTGACGTAGGTATCCCTTTCCTTCCCACCGGGATAGAAGCCCAGGAGGGAGCTAGTAAGGGAGATGAGGAGGTGGGAATGGCTTGTGTCGCGGAGGTTAGGGTCCCTAGGGGAGACCAATTAAGGGCCACCCAGGAGTATTGGTTCTAGACCCACAAATAGACCAAGCTTTTCCCTCCTCCGTCACCCTCTTAAATCCCGATGAGGTCACTGCGATGAGAGAGTCAGATCAAGAGAGAAGGGGGGAGGAAGAGGACTGTGAGGGAGAAGAAACCCAGACGGGAAAAGGCCAGCAGACAAGGTCGCTTTTCCCGGCGACACCGCAACGGCGAGGCGCGTGGTGCTGAATAGCGTCCGCCCGCTCAGCCTGGGGACCGCGGGGCTCTCGGCCGCGAACACAAAGGAGAGGAGACCGGCGGGAGCGGGAGAGGCAGGCGCGCAGCAGTTCGCTCTGCACCTCCGGGAAGCCAGGCTCGTCTCCCTGGCGGGGGAAGGAAGGGGCGCCTGACGGTCGGCAGGAGGAGGAGGGAGCGGGTTTCCCGCGGAGACGCGGGACGCGGCAGAACTCTGGACAGCGCCTCGCGAGCGGGACTCGGAGCCCCGGGCCGGCGGGCGTCCCGGCTGCTCTGCAGAAGCCCCGCCACCCGGTCCCTCCGCGCTCCCGGACTCCGACCCCCGATCCTCCCAAGATCCCTGTCTGGACGGGCCAGGGGGCGGAGCGGCTCCTTCGCCTTTGGCCGGGCCAGGGAAGAGGGTCTCCGGTTCTGGACATCCAGTCCTTGCGGACAATGCTTCACTGGTGAAGAAAGAAAAGTTTTGGGGTCTGGTAGAGGGAGGAAGGGGTAAGGACGACAGTGGAAGAGAGAAGGTGGATGGTTGGTTTCCCACGCTGACCTGGAAGGAATGATGACCGAGGAAGAATGTGCACCAGCGGCCAGATTATTGGGAGCCTCTTGGTGCTCTCCGTGCTGGAGATAGGGCTGGGGGTGTCCAGCGTGGCCGTGGGGGCGGTCAGCTTCAGCCTGGCCCTCCGACAGCACAAGCCGCAGCTCGGAGACTCGTCCCCGGTATGGAGCGGGGTGTGTGTACGTTGAGCCATTTCACTCTCTTTACCTCTTTAAGGTGATGGGCAGTGTGCGTGCGTTAGTCACCCCTCCCCGGGGAAGAACAGCCCAACGCTCCTCTGGCTTGAGTGTAGGTTCGTGTTGGCAGGGTATGCCTCTTGATGTTGCCCTTTTATTTAGCACACTAACTGTTCTCTTTTCTTTTTTATAACCTGGCTTAAGACCAAATTAAATGCCCTTGTTGAAAGTTGGGGAGGGGGCAGTTGTCACCAGCTGCGTCTGCAAAAGACTGCCCAGGGGTGCTGATGAGGGGTCACGCCTGTCAAGGGCAGACTCCGCGTCTTGTTTCTTTTACAAGGGAAATCAAAATGAGAGTGTTACATCATTTTCTTGTACCCGGAACAAGCAAGGATGGAGTTATGCATTTATTTTTGCGTACACTAAAGGAAACACCAGTATGACAAAAAGAGAACTGTGGTGTGGGTGTGAAGGAGCATTTTATCCCAGATAACACTGCTCTCAGTTTCTCTTGCTAGCTTTCTGTACTTGGCGTCTAAAAACTCTTTTGTAAGTTCTAGGCAGTAAGTTGAACAATAAGTGGTATGGTATTTAACAACATTTTAATTGGAGAATAACTCAGCTCAAAGAGTGCCTAATGCTCGGAGAAAATGTCATACTTTTCTCTAGGTCAGGTGGCTGACCCAAAGAGCTTCTGGTTTATTTACTTTAGGTGAATCTCCAGGAAAGCCTCAGAGATCCATTGCTTCCTTGAAGAGCCAGCAAAATAACTCAGCACTATTTCCAGTAGGGATCCAATTGTGAAAATCAACTTTTCTTCTCCTTTAAGTTACATAGCCGCTAGGTCCTTCTGGGTCTCTAGCTCAATCTTACTTTAGATAATTGAATAGCATGTTATTCTATCCCTGATACATGGTGGGTGTAATTAAAAATCATGGCTTAGTTACTTGTGCTAAGTTACTGAGGGAAAACTTACCATTTTTCAAGAAAAAATTATTCCAAAGTAGTTTATTTTTGAGGAAAATTCTAGCCTTCTTAAAGCCAGTATAATTCTGTTTTAGAAAATTTGTTTTAATATTTTAATTTTTCAAAGCAAAATGAATGTTTTTTAATTTCAGAAGTTAAAAAGAAAAAAATGGTGTTCAAGCTTAATATTGAATTCTTCCAAGAATCCTTGTTCTAAATTTAATGTTACTACCAACCTCTGAATTATTTACCTTTTTCTTTACCATGTAATTTTAATGAATATTTTAAATTTATATATGAAAGTCTAAAAGGCAAAGCTTCAATCTAATTTTACATCCCATATGTAGTGGTGATTATTCTGAGAGTTGTAGTTGTTATTATTTAACAGAAATGGTCTGACTCTAAAACTTCTATCAGACAATAGTCAAAATGAAATGTAATGTCAACATTTAAAGCAAGGGGAGGAAAACGTGATCTTTTGATGGCTTATGGGGGGAGAAGCCTCAAACACTTCAAACACTTCCCCTCTGATATTTAAGAGACTGAGTAAGTGAACTTAGGTTGTCCCTAAACAGTATCAAAGTATCTCATTTATATTTAAGAATAAAAAATAGTTACAGTTGCTTGACGTCATTTAAGAAAAATAATTAAATGACATTATCTTTCTTCCTAGGCTATTATGTAGATGAGTTGATATATGTGTACATAAAGAAAATGAAAATTTTGAATCTCAGTGAAAAGCAAATAAAACAATAATATATAGTCATTATCATAAATACTTGTTTCCATTTTTAACTGATTCTTTAGTGTAACTAGAATTCACTTATGACCCTAGAGCAATAGTTTTGAATTCTACTGTCTGATTCAGTAAAAAAAGAAAAAATTAAAAACTGCATGTTATTTAATGAATAGGTTTGAAACTAGAATGCCCAAACAGCTGGTCACTTTTATAAACTCAAGTTAAAAAAGCAAATTTGTGAAGAAATCAATATCAAGTTATGATCATGGTTTATCAAAGTATAGGCCTGCTAAATTGATTTTTAAAAATTATTTGTTCAGAGGTCATTTGTGAGACAGTTTGAGTTCTCCCAATTCTGTCAATGACGAATTCCTACAGCCAGCATTTACAGAGGGATCACCATGTGCAAGGCATTTTACTGTCTTACACAAAGGCTCCGAACATGAATCAGAATACCTAGTGGAGGAAACATGAAGGGAACATCACTGACTTTATCAGTGGCAAAGTAGAATCTGGCCTCAGAGAAACAGAGGGGCAGATAAAGGGAAGAGAAGTTGGGTTGGCCAATGAAATAGCCATGTGAGAACTATCACTTTCTCTTGATCTTGCCAGTTTAATGGAACTTGGAATTAGTGTGTCACAGTGTTCAAGGATACAGCACAGTGTGAAATCTGGAGTCTGTCTGGGTACACATCCAAGATCTGCCACTTGCTTTCTGCACGACTAGCCAAAGTTTTCTCCCGTGTTGTAAAATAGTGCTATTAGAAGGCACAAATAAGGCTCTTAGTTAAAAGCACAGCATGTAGTAAGCCCTGAATAAATGTAAGCAGCTAATACTGGGTGCACTGATTGGTAGAGAGAGGAATGAGAAAGGAAAACGTTTCAGGCAGTCGGGATGAAGGAAGACACCTGGGGCAGGGTGGGTTATTTTCCAGGAAGAATAGGCTCCTCCCCCTGGGGCTCCCATGTGTGAGGGAGAGATGGGGCTGGGGCCAGAGCATAGGAAGGAGGCTGTGTGTCAGTTCAGGGTAATGGGTTTATTTTTTCACATTTGTAAACTACTATTAATAACAATAATAATAGTTTTTACTTTCTGAAAAGACTCCAGGGACATACAGAGGAAAACTAGACAGAAGATTACAAATCTCTCTGGTATTTTATGAATTAAAAAATCAGTATTATTTATGAATGCAAGATAGTATTTTACAATAACTTGTCAGGATAACCATTGTCTCTAACCAGAGTGTGTTTTGATTGGTGCCATGAAGTGTTTTCAACACATTAATATCATTATCACAAATTTCTGAATTAAATTTTAGAAGTTGAGTGAAATAAAAACTATACTATGAAAGGATTACTTCTTATATTTGGAACCCAGTGTCAAAAGCTCTTTTATCTAGGCCAAATGCAGTAAGAATTCAGATAAGTATTTTGATTACATGGACCCAAAATATTTTCTAAAATCTAAAAGGTAGCTTAACAATAAAATAGTATCAAGATAAAGGGCTTAAAATCCATGAGATGGATGCTTATTCAGATCATTTCCAGTCACTATTTCATAAGCCAGCAAAAGGTGCCTCTGCAATCCATTTAAAAGATGTGGGCATTTAGAAGGAAAAAATCTTTTAACTACAATTTTATAGAGACAGGAAGCTATACATGCCTTTGCAGTATTTTGCTTCTTTTTGATTCTTTGTTATCTCTGATAGAGTCGCCTCATTAAGAGCATAAAAGAAGACATAACTGTTAGATAACAATGTATGAACCATTGAGTAAACTGTCTCAGAAAAGATATGGTCATGTGGAATATAACTGATGTGTAAAACAACAGGGAGTCAAATGGACAAGGCTGTGTTTCCAAGCTGCTGTGTGATGCTCACTTTCCTCAGTCTCCAGTGCTACCTGTTGTGTGGCCCTCTGATTCACCATGGCAACAACTCAGCCAGTTTTAAGATTGTGATGAAATTCACCTGCTATACATTCTGATCCATACTATAGTGACACAAACAATGTGCTGGATATGAATGATAGCTGCTCCAAAGTATTATTTTTAATATTTAAATCTATTCAATTTATTTAAGAAAAAAAACAATAAAACCAAAGAAATCCCTCAAAAAGTTACTTCAAGTGTACAAAATTTGGAGCTAGTGTGCCTCGTACCATATAATATATCATTATTCACCAGACTCAAAATATATAACATAAGGGACTTATATCTTTTAGCATGAATTAAAATACTGACCTACCCTAAGAAAACAAAACCACAAATGTATATTTATGTGTCATTTTGAAACTAATTTTAATTATGTCATTAATTCATAAATAAAATCTCATTTCAAAGGGTTAAAAAGGATTAAAACTGAAGTTCTTTTCCCTACCATGTCATCTAAATTAGCCACCCTTATAAATTTAGTGTGTAATCTCATGGATATCTTTCCATGCGTAAACAGTATTGTTTGAACATATAAACTAATTTTGATCAAGTCTCTGGATATGGTGAAGTCTATGTATGAACTCTGTAAAGCTCAGGTAAAGAATCTCTTCCTCATCTGAAATACACTCTTATTCTCAAGTGCTAACTGTTACCCCCTGGGGCTAGGTTGCCGAGGTGTCCAACCTGTGGGCTGAGGGCCACATGCAGCCCAGGATGGCTATGGATGCTGTCCAGCACAAAATCGTAAATTTACTTAAACCCCCCCTTTTTTTTTTGCTCATCAGTTTTCATTAGTGTTTGTGTATTTAATATGTGGCCTAAGACTCTTCTTCTAGTGTGGCCCAGAGATGCCATAAGTTTGGACACCCCTGGGAGGGCGATTAGATAATAGGCAATGAAATAGGTTAGCCAAGCTAAACTATTGGGAAATGTAGTTATTAGTCAAGGAAATTTTGGTCCCCTTCAGTTATCAATTTGTTGACAGTTTGCCTGATACAAACAATCTGAATAGAGTCAAAGTCTTTCATTTGGATGTTTTTGCCTAAAATGTTCAAGATGGCTTTCTGCATTAATTTAATTATTAGTCAGATCATCCAGTATGTGCTTTGAATATGGCTAAGCAATTTAACTTTTTTCTATATTTACTTATCCCTCAGACAATGCTTAATTTTATTGGTAAATTAGGGGCATAGATCAGCCATCCTAACTGAAATTCTTGTTTTTTAAATCAATAAAAACTGAAACGGATTTGATGGGTATGCACATACCCACCAAAAAAGGGAAACACCCAACAGTTTTCTGTTCAAATGATTTTGAATCATTAACTTTTGAAGTGAAGAAATTTTTATTTACTATATATGTATA